ACAAAAGTTGTTTGAATTCACTAAAACGCATAGCATTTTTCTTTGTGCTCTAATTGGCTAAATACAGTTCCTTCCTCATAAAAATCTATGTATGTAGGTATGTTTTTTATTGTAAAAAAAAACAACAACCCTCAAATCATGCATTGTTTTCATCACGTTTGTTTGCAAGCAGTCTTCCTCACAGACTTTGCTGCGCCTCTTTGCACTTTACCGCCAGCAACAGCTGATCAGCACAACAGCTTGAATCAATGAAGAGAGTATATCACTTCACTGCTGACGCAAATAAAACTGGGAAGCGACTGTGTAATATCACATTGTACAAATACTTTCCTACTTTATGTAGGATAAACAACTGCAATGACATAACTAAATGTCTTTTTATTACACACTTTGTCTGTATTTCATTTCAGTATCTGCTCTGAAACCAGAGGAGATGCCAGAAGTGCGGATGGAGACTGAAGAGAGGCAAAGTGCTGGTTATGAAGTTTACCATCAAAAACTGGTATGAAAACACATGCCCCTTACCTTTGGTCCTGCAGTGGAGTCTGGGCTCTGTACACATCAACAGTTTTTTTTTTTAATCGGCAGGTGTTTTTCGCTGAGGATGTGGGGTCGAATAAAGGTGCTATCATTGGACTCATGGTTGGAGGGGTTGTCATAGCAACTGTCATTGTCATTACTTTGGTGATGCTGAGGAAGAAACAGTACACTTCCATTCATCACGGTGTAATTGAGGTAAGTAAAGTGTTGAGGGGTCATGTTTCCCAGTGTTATCATGTGTTTTTTAAAGTTACATAAAAGACTTGTTTCACTAACCTGCTTTATCTGTGCTCTGTAGGTGGATGCAGCAGTCACACCAGAGGAGCGTCATCTGGCCAAGATGCAGCAGAACGGTTATGAAAATCCCACCTACAAATTCTTCGAGCAGATGCAGAACTAAAAGAACTGCTCATCAACATTTCCTCCCCTCACACTTTCACTCGTCAGGTCTGTTCCATTCTGGTTCCTTGCCCTCAGCCCCTACACCTTCAGGTTCTCACCTTGTTAAAGGCAAAGGTGTGAAGACTGCTACAGAGGCTCATTTTTATGTTGTTGGAAAGTTAGGAGCAGATAAGTGAAGCCTTTGTACCAGTTCATGTCTCAGTCAGGGGTTTGGGCCAAAGGAAAACAACATGGAACAAAGCCTGCCTAATCCCTGATCCCTTGATTGTAAAGAGCTTACATCCACCTGCAATTTATCGGACAAGGGTATCCTTTTTCACCTGCACTTTGTCCAGTCACAACAAAAACTCTATTCAGCCTGTTTATACCTGGTGTTATCATGCGTCTTGGGTGATCTGATCACAAGTGGACGGCTTTGAGTCTGTCTGTAAACACAAGGCATTAGAGTGCATCTTCACATGGGTCTCTAGTGACCACTGCAAAATAAACTGGTGAATCATTTCCGTTTGCAAAGACCAGCTGCTTAGTTGTTTTTAACCGTGAGGAGGTTTGTCTTGCTGTAAACTCTGCTGTGTTAGCTTGTGCTAACCGGGCAGATGTTGAACTGACTGTTCTTTGGGAGCAAAGTTGCTTCGGAGACGGTAGTTCAGATCTGTGCCTGCGCAACTGTACAGACAGAAGGTTTTTATTATCCGGTTGGGTAGCAGATAAGCAAGGACGTTAGTGTGGCCCAGGACACAATAGCATTCACACTGCTGAAACAATGTGGCCACATTTGGCCCAGACCAGCTCCAAATGTGGTCTGAGCGTTTGGATCTCCAGACGCATTGAGGACACATTTGGTTCACTCACACATGTACTTAGAGCTGTCCACTTGTGATCTGATCACCCAGGACACCTTAATACCAGGTGTAAACAGGGTCATAGAGTTCCTACTGAAAAACCCTGCTGATGATTTATGTGACGTCTCGCAGCTGAGACGATGTAAATCTAAGCAGTTTAATTCCCAATCACTCGTTCATCGCTCCAACTGTTCCGTTTTCCTCAAACTGCTCCACCCTCCACACCCCCACCCCCCACTCTCAGATGACAGCTGTGCTGTGTTTGATGACATAACAGCTCTTAGAGCTGGCAATGGGAGGAGGGGCTCTAAAAGCGCCTCTCCGCACGATTAAAGCCCAACTGTTTCAGGTTTGTTTTTCAAAAAAGGAAAAAAAAAAAAATTGCAGAAAAATTCTACATAATCAAAATATGTAAAAGTTGAAAAATATTGAATGTTTTGTTTTCTGATTTTTTTTATGTGTAATATATTAAGACAGAGATTAGCTGTAAGTAAATGTAGTGCATGGCAATATTGATGACAGATACAGTATACTGTATGTTGAGGTCCTCGGGAGCGGTCCTCTCTTACTAGATATTTTAGCAGGATTGTACATTTCTAGTGTCTTCTTTGTGACCTTGTGATATGAAGAAGAAAAAGAGTATTCAGAACCCGGTCTGCTTTGTCGTCACACAGACTTGCTTTAACTGAATCTTGGCTCGTTAACGATCATCTCCATGCTTCACTGTTGTGTTAGCTGCATGGGCAAAATGCTCTATATGTAATATATGAAGTGTAATAGTATCCGAAAGGAAGACGATTTTGTTACTGTTTGCGTTCTATGCACTCTGTCATTTTTGAAGTCTGATTATTATCACCAAATATTATTATTGCTGTTAAGTCCCTGATGCCAATTCACACTGTCACTGCACATCTGGGTTTTTGTTAGAATAAGGAAGTCAAAGGTTTTCTGAAAGTGTATCATTCCAGATTTATCATTCCACTCTTTCTCTTGATTGTAAATATTTGGAAGATGGAGATCTGGCTCTCAATGGCCCGGTTTCATTATCAAGCTCCACCTCTCCGTCTCTTGCTTGTGTGTTCTTCAGTCTTTCTTTCCAACCCCGTTTGTCCTGTTTATCCTCTCTTTCCGGCTGCGTCAGCAATATTGTACAACGCAGCACTTTTGAGTATTTGCTAAAGAGATGGGACTCGTTAGGCCTACAAACGTTTTCTCCTCTTCACACACATTCCTTCACCAAATCTCACATTCTATTTTTCTACATTTTCTGTGTATACATGTACAGTGCTTCTGTTCGTCCTGTGGTGGATATTTCTTTGTCTGCGTTATCTGTTGTCAAGTCCTCACAAACAGGTGAAGAGTTAACAACACTAGGAGGATGACCACAACTCACATCAGCATGGAGACACGTTTCCCTCTCCCATTACTATTAAGTTATTAATGCCACCTTCAGTCAACATGAATGTGACATGCATTGTGTGCTTTTATACCATAGAAATACAACACATATCACCTCTCTACATATGATATCCACACATGTACAGACACACTAACTGAAGCTCTTAATCAGGTGAATGTTTAAAATTTGTATCGATGCTCACCCTGGGTGTCTTTGGAGGCTCGTGTTTTAAAAAAAGAAAAAAAAAAGTGCTTTTTGTTTCTCTCATTGATTCAGTGACCTTCCTCTGTGTGTAGTTAAATGAACCATTTGCTTAGAGTAAGAAAAGGCTTTCTACACTCACTATACCATGAATAAAATTTTGAATGTACATACATTTCTGGCTGTTTGTCATTTTGGATCTTTTGATGATGATTCATGCAGGATTTTAAACTATGCAGGGTTGTTGGTTTCTGTTTATAAACACGCTCACCAGCAAAACTGAAAGCTGTGGGGGAAACATGCCCACAAATTTCCCCGAGTACAGAAAATGAGAAATTACAGGCAGAGGGCAGAGTCTCTGCAGAAAACTACTCTTCCACATATTTCTAGTTGGTCATAGTGATAACTGAGAGGGATTACAGGGTTCCACACATTGTCACCAAAGAATTTTCAAAACTTTTCCATTATACTTTACTCGATTTCTGCGACTTAATCTAATTTATTGATTAGGCCTAAATAGTCATACAGCCACACATTACTAAACACACTTCCTGGGTATTTGCAAGCTGCAAATATGGCCGCCAACTTGCAACATGCCAACAAACCAGGGGTCTCATTTATAGAACGATGTGTAGGATCCATACTAAAAATGTACACATGGACAAGAGCCAAAAAAACTACAATCAGACTTCCACCTCACCATCTGCATTGCCAGTTTCCTATCTCCAAAATGTTGGTAAGTATGGGTCAAAATTTCACCCATCAAGTCTGTTTTTATAGACCCCAACTTTTGCGTAGGAAGTAGTGCATGCCTCTTTCAGGACTTGTTTTGTGCATATGCAATGTCTATAAGAGACCCCAGATCAGAAAATACAAGTACCCTGCAAAATGTTTTTTTGGGGGGTGAGAAAACCAAGGATCCCTAATGCAATTTCACCTGTATTTGGATTATAATTTTGTTTTATGAGTTCCTCTGCATTTATTTCTTGTTAAATGTGTTTTATGGACATGTCTAATAATTGTTTCGCAATTGTTTTGAAAAGAAGGTTGTGCTTCAACAATTCCAAAAAGTATGAAAAGGTAAAGTGTCCCAAATTTCTGAGAAAAGGACAACAAAATACCCACATTTCATTTGTTAAACTGGCTCACATCACAATAAAGCTACACTTACATGTTTCAGCACAGAGCCTTCATCGGAGCTTTCTGGCATTTTCCTGTTTCCCAAAAAGGGATGTGGCCTTGGTGATGACGTGATACTAGTGATCCAATATTTTAAATTAATATAAGCAACGTATTTTACGTACATTAGGACATGTTTGGGGATTTTTCTGAGTGTATCTGAAACAATAGCCAAAACCATGTAAACTCAAAACTTAACCAAAACACACTCTTAATTCCAAATCAGCTCCAGACCTGGAAAACTGCTTTCTTAATTTCATAACTTTTTCAGGAATTTCATGACTGTGGGAACCCTGGTATTATTTCTAATTCTATACATTGTTTTAAAGAAAATCCTGCATCTTTGAAAGGTCTTGAGGTGTGTCAAATACACATTTACTAATTAAATAAAACATTACTTTCCAAGGCTGAGAGATGAAGAGACTGAATCACAGACGTTAAGAAAAATGCTTGCCACTTTATTCCCTCTAGTGGACAAAAAAGGGTCCAACAATTCAGGGAACAAACACTAAATAAAATACAAAACAGATCCTCTATAAATGGAAAATATGAAAATACACTTGTCCTTGTGGCTATCAAAAACATGAAGTACCGGTATATACAGTGGAAATGATCCTAAACTACAGACGAGGAACGCATTACACAAAGCTCACAGCTCAGTCAGACATTCAAGCATTCAGTCACATGCACACAACAACAGCACATCTCAGTAATCACGCAGACATTTGTCTCCTCATCCTGAACACACGTCTCTTGGTTAGAGTTAAAGAAAAGATAAAACTTTTAACCTGCCTCAGTCTAACTTGTAAAGACAATAACAGAGTTGTTAATCCGTACTGATCGGGGTCAGTCTTGCATTCCTGTGCCTGATAAACACAGCTGTGTCAAAAGAAGAGAACAGAGTTGATTTCCAATCAGTGGTGGAGAGCAAACTTTGGCAGCTGGACGGCGCTTTGCCACAGCCTCCTTCAACTGTCTTTGTCTAGTGTTGTGGTGGCCAGCGTCACTGTAGTGATGGGCTGACCGATGCCGTGCATCTGCATGCGGGCCAGTTTCTTCTGTTCGCACTCGGTCACCAGGTTGTTGAGCTCAGCAGCGCTGTAGCCGATCAGAGTTCTCAGGTCACACACAAACTTGTAGACAAAGCGCTTGCCCTGCACCTTGCTGATCATGTCCCCGTCGTAGTAATACCTAAATGAGAACATGAATGTCAGAATCTCACAAATAAAACCACACAGTTTAAGAGTGAAGCAAACCATGTCATGTTTTCAATGCTGCTGTCATAACGGAGATCTGCATTGGGTCAAGTACTTGCAAAAAAGGTGAAAACTCATCATGTTAACAGCTTTATAATGTCTTCTGTGGCCCTGGAGGAGCTTTGTCATCATCATCATCATCATGATCATCATCATCTCAGTCTTTTTTTAACAGAAAGGCCCCCCTTGTTTATCAAGCAGTTGCATTGAGGGAAATGTAGGATCTAGTGTGTCAGGATCATATTCCCCTCTAGGACTACAAGTCAGGATGTGGCTGCGACCATTTCTTAATCCGTCACCAACTCTATGGAAGTGTAATGCTGAGCCACTGGAGTACCCTTCAAAAACAGAAACAAACCTCAGGGCTCTGCTGAGTTTCTCGTAGTTCATCGTAGGCTTGTTCTTGCGCTGGCCCCATTTCTGGGCAACAAGCTCTGGCTGGTTGAGTTTGAACTCGCCGTCCTCGCCCACCCAAGAGATGCAGTCCCGTGCGTCCTTGTCTGTCAGCAGCTCCAGCAGGAACTGCCACAACTGGATCTGACCATTGTTTCCTGGCACCACAGAAACACAGCATTCAATTTAGTTTCATTTTTGGAGCAATTTCATATTCAATTATTTTCATTATACTTGCACAAAGGCTGTGTCGTAGTGGCCAAGGGTCTGATTCCAACCCATCACCCTTTGCCTTTTTCGGCACTTTCAGGCTATCTGAACAGAGGCCTGTAAGCTGTCTACATACGAGCTACATACAGAGCCCATGTGTGTAGTGTGTATAGTACCTGTGCGGTTGCCAGGCGAGCTGCGCTCCTCTCCTCCTGAAATTCGGGGAGCTCTGGGGCCACGGTTCTGCTTCAACACCTTGATGGCAGTGGGTGTGCTCACTTGGGCCGGGATTATCTGCACAGCTGCAGACACAGACAGGAAGGTTAGAGATAAACAGAATATTGTTCATCAGAACAACTGCTGGTGTTTAAATGATCTGACATCGATTCATAAAATCCTGAGATTAGTCTTTTAATGTATGCCTTTGACCGGAGACGTGTGAAGCTTTAACCCGGTTAGTCTTGTGTGGCCGCACTTTGGTTCTTCACACGAGATGTGGCCGGATGAGAGGCTAGTGAACTTCTTTTTATGCAAGCATACCGGGAGCTGCTCCACTGAAGGCACGGCCAAGCCTAAGGCAGATACCTGGTGCATTTCAGTTAAAAACTATGAATACAGAGAAGAGTGGGACAAAAGCAAAGCCATATGCACGTACTTGGCTTATCACCTGCTACTGTATGGATACAAATACATATAGCCTATAGTTAGCCTGGTTAGGTACCAGAACTGTGTTGTAGAGGCCTGTCCAAGGGTGTCGAACACCCTGGACCAAAAGTCAGTTAGGCATGTCCAAAATATGTGTAAATAGTCAGCTGGGGATTTCATACATCTATTATAAGCATCACTTTGATCAGGGTATTTTCTAGCCAATTTGGTGTTGGTAAGTGTGCCATCTGGAGAACCTTGCAATGCAATAGTCCCGTGTCTGGCACATCAATCAATCAATCATTTTATTTATAGAGCACTTTTCACATAGTGATAAGGAGTGCATAAAGGCAAGAATATCGCTCCAGTGGTTGTCAGAAATGTGAACACCCAAGTCTTGTTCCCAGGAGTCTTCGAGAGGTGCAGTGGGGCTGGGGTTTTTTCCATAAATAATTGATATTAACCGTTTTTGATCAAAGTCTAAGGTGAGAAATTGGTCAATTTGTGATTGAAAAAATGGGGAGACTGTTTTGGGGTGTCGATTTTAAATGAAAACTTTGGTATCTTTAAATATACACCAGGTTGGAGGGTTTCTTGTACAATTTACAGCATGAATCCTCTGAGAAATCCTTTCATATCTGAGAAAAAATGGTATTATAACTGATATATTCCTAATAAAATTGATACTGGAACAAATCGAAATGGAAATCAATTAGAACTGGGAGCTTTGAGAAATTCTGGGAAGCCCTGGTTCTTATTAAAGTTATTCCATCTGCAAGAAAAGGACATTTTTCTTCCTTTGAATGAACTGTCTGCTGCCCTGCAGGCTAGTAAAGGGGTTCTCTGTGTTGTGTCCCATCAGATCAGATAACTTGAGTGACTCATGACTGGCCAATTCCAGTCTTCAGCTGACTGCATGTAAGGGTATTGTCATGTTTCGGGGAAACCTTTAATTACCCCTCTGGCAGATTTTTCAGTAAAACACTTACGTTGATCGATGGTGACAGTGGCGTCCCCTCCGGACTGGTCCTGGCTTGCCAACACATCTGAACGAAGCACAAAGGATTAAGACAAAATCTGCATCAAATTCACCAGACCCACGTACAAATCAGATGCAACTTTGGCCTTCATTTGACTCCTTAAAACACCGTCAACCATTATCAGTGTGTGCAAGATGGATGCATAGTCTCCTAAAACCTACAGCGACTCTCTCTGACTTACATTTACGCAGGAGCTCCAGGTGACTCCAGAGTATCTCTCCATTGGGCACTTTATGTAGGAACTCTTCCTGGCTGAATGAGCAGAGATCTCGACCTGGAATGTGAATGCTGCCTATTTCCATCTCATCGATGTTAAACTCCTTCATCACCCACACAGCCCAGTGGATCACCTGATCAGCCGTCCAGAGCACAGGATCTGAAGAGAGCAAGAGAAACTGTGTTTATTCTCACCACATTAAGGATTGTCTTCCACACAGAAATGTATCTCATCAAAGTGTTTCTCACCGTATGGTATGCCCAGCCGGACCTGCTCTTTGCGGTAGCCTTCAAGTGCTGCGGCCCAGCGTGTAACCTGCTCGGAGGTCTCATCAGAAAGGCCAGATCGCTCCACAGCGATGAGCTGACCCTCTTCCACCAGTGCTCCCTCCTCTCCTGCTGCATCTGGATCAATCACCACCTCCACTGTTTCTACTGGCTTCACAATTTCCAAAATGTTTAGCTTCTCCTCACCTGGACGAGGGGAAAGAACACAAATTAGTGAGGCTGATGTAGGAATGTGCAAATGTGAACATCGACACAGACATGTTCTGATCTTTGAGGCATTTTATTAGTACCTGGTTTGGTTATAATTTGCAGGCTGAGCTGCACAGTGCCATCTGTCTTTACGCCTTGATCAAAGAGGCTGTGGTCAGGGTGAAGCTGAGAACAAAACAACACGTAAGCTGAGTCAGAAGTGAAGAAGGACATACTTTCTTGTTCAAGGGATAACTCTCAGACTGTTTTAATGGCAACAGCAACAAGAAATGCACAGTTACCTGGATGTCCTGCAAGCAGATGTCATATGCGTCCAGTGATATTTGGATACGAGGCTCCAAGAGCTTCTTCAAATTGCCAATGGGCTCATTGATGTCGATGTCTTGTTGAATCAGATCTGATGCAGTGATGGTCTGCTCCTCGACCCTACATGTAAAAGGAAAGTGAGGTTAAATAACTGTAAATGTGTATATGCTGCATGCAGAGGGTATGCAATTCAAATCACCATCATCTTGCTTACCCTTCCTCCAGGCACGCCTGTTTCTCCCGTTCATCGATCTCGATCTCTATCATCTCTTCTGTTTCACTTTTAGACATTCTGTTCGACGCAGAGAGCCAAACTGTGGGAAAGTAATGCAAGAGTGTTGGAAGAGAAACACTTAACAATATATTCATAAAGGCAGTAATGCTGAAACAATCACTAAAATAATCAACAATCTTGTCAACCAGCTGATCATTTAAGTTATTTATCAAGCAACAATGCCCAACTCTCTGGTTCCTGCCTCTCAAATGTGAAAACGTTATGCTCTTTTCTGTTTTATATCATTGTACACTGACTATTTTTAGGTTTCAGACTGTATGTTAGATAAAAACAACTTATTTGATGGCATCGCTTTGGGTTCTGGAAATTAGTGATGCACAATTCTCACAATTTCAGACATTTCAGAGCCTAAGTGATTAATAAAAGAAAAAAAAATTGAACAAGTGATTAACTGACATTAATTCTCACTAATAAGTGCTGTAGTTGAGGCCCTAAATTGTAGAGCTATTCAGTTTTAGAGGTGTACATGCCACTGTGTCAGTACTAGGGATGAAACAGTTAATGCTATCACATTAAAACATTGTGAAACTCCAGACAGTATTACCACGTCAAGATCTGAATTATCATTTCAACTGTGTTTGATTAAGGTGCTCTGAATAACTCACAATAAATACAGTCCAGTATCAACCAAAGTTAGCAACAGTTTCCCAGGTGCAGCACGCAACGATTTGTTTTACTATTGTTTACAGAGTGGGTGTGCAGCGGGCAAACCCAGTGATGCTGGCGGTCCCTTATCTTCATCTACAGTGGCACAGACACTTAAGCAAGAATTTCAGAGATGGGTTATCCTAAATGTTAAAACACATTTTATATGTTTTTATATGTTTACATATGGTATTGGCTATGATTTCATGTTTAAAAGTGCATAGTGCTGCTAATATATTTTGTGGTTTTCAATATAAAACTTGGTGAAATGACTTCAGTGTGTGTGTATCGGTATTTTTTGGACATTTTCAGTACATTTAACAACACCACAATATAACACATAACTGTGATAATTTTGGTCACTATAATCATGATATGAAACTTTCATACAGTTTCCTCTCTATAGTGGGTTATAATGCAACTGGATGGAGAATCTCCCCTTTATTTGACTTATTTTCAAAGGAGAGACTTTTTCACACATGTTTATTGACAAAATTGCTTCAATTTTAGTATTAAAACATTTGTTCAACCAAAAAACCTTTAAAGGTCATTCTGACTGATAATAAAAAAATATCATATAATACCATGGAACCGCAATATTTTCTGGGATGGTTATCGTACTGTAAGATCTCATACCACTGCAAACTTTAATATAAATCCCAAAATATTCAATAAAGTAAGAAAACTGTAAACATAGGGGACCCATTATATGTTTTGCTAGATGTTAAGTATTTCACTTCTATCTATGATGTCCCTGCTTGTGTTAATGGTTGTCTGCTTTTTCTTATCATAAAAAATAATAAAGTATAAACATAATAAGAAAAGAGTCAAAATTGTCACATTCAAAATGGCATTAAATTTCATAAATGATTTAATGGTGTTGTCATTTTAACGCTGCCATGAAGATATAAAAACATTCATTAAAACCATTGATTTTAACACAGTAATGTCACTAAATTGCACAAATACACTATGGCTCACTGCATTTTTCATTTATTATTCTGTAATTAAAAGGTTTAGTGGCACAAACATTTAGGAAAGCACTTTAAAAGTTGACATAATTGATGCCCAGCTGACAGAGAATATTTCGGCTGCAGTGTATAAATGTGTGGCAGTGGGTTAAGGGTCCATGATGTGAATATGAAGCAGCAGTTGGGGGGTTTTCTCCTGTAAAGGCCTCTGAGCCTCGACTTCTCGTTGGCCGCCTGGAACAGTTCACTGTCTGCTCCAACTGCTAACGTTAGCCAACTCGAGGGCGAGGCTTTGGCGTCTAAAGGCCAACTGCTAGGCCATTAGTTACCAAAAATAGTCACCAAACACATCCACACATCGTGAACACATGTTGTAAAAACGCATAAATGTTGGATTTAAACACCTGGCCACACGTGTGGATCCACTGAAGCTGGTCCACAGTGAACCAAGTTAGCTACTGTTTTGGAAGCGAATGCTCCGCGGGGCGAGGCAGCCCATTACACAACCGTCGGTCCCGACGTGCTAAACAACGGTTAAAATATCCTAGAAACGCATTGCGCTCCATAGCGAAAACAAATCTTTGTTAAATCACACTTTAACTCTGCGCGTAGAAAACTTTTAAAACGGAAATAGAATAAACGGAAACAAAACAGCATAGGGCAAATGGAAAGGAGCCGGAAATCCTGGCTAAGGTTTACAGCGTTACAAGACTTCCGAGAGCAGCCGCGATAAATACGACACAAGCTACACAGGGAAACTAACACCACAGAGCCACTGCGATGTCGCTAATATACTCTAAAAACGCTCGGTTACACACAAACTGCTGCTATACAAAGAAGCACGGACTGAAAATTAGTTTTTAATCGTCTCTGGATGTATACGCACTGTGTGTTTGAGGTTGGACGGTGATCAGCGCCGCGGCAGCAGACAGTCTCCTCTTCACGGCTGTTAGCAACCTAGCTAACACACAACTGCTAAAACTGGGTTTGTCCAAAATAAACTAACGCTGTTTCAGTTTCTCCAGATAACCAGAAATCGCCAGGAGCAGCTGTGCTATCTTGCTAGCTGCAGTGGAAGTTGGCCAATACTCTGAGTGTGTTTTTATGACTAGCTTGAAAGGTAGGCGTCCTCTTCCCACTAAGCTAAGTAGTCAACAACAGCTAGCTAGCTAGCTAGTGAGCCACAAAATAGCGGGAAGACCAAGCACGACAAACAGTCCCCTTACATGACCGCAGTTAAGTACACTTTCTGTAAAACAAGCACGTTTTGTGAGACATACCCATACCTTTTAAAATTCAGGCCTTGGTAGATGTTGGATTGTGTTCAACTGTGGTAGATAAAGCAGCCAAAATTCTCACAGTCGAGTCGTATCATGCAAGTTTTTGGTCAACTACACACACACTCATAGGAGGGGCGGAGACTAACTGGCAAGACAGTTACCCTAAAACTAGTATGGAAAACACTAAATGTCACTTCTCTTTATTTTAGCGTGGACTTTATTCGCTTTATCATAATTTTGGATCGTATTATTAGAGCTAATATGTGTCCAGCACATGAAGTTTGGCTTTTTAATAAACATGTTTCCCCATCAGTTTTAAATATCATGGTTAATCATCCATTTAAAATACACTCTGATTGCTTAAACAAACATATTCCCATCAGCTTCCACTAACTCAGTAACATGCTATGTGTCCTCATGTGACCGCATTTTTATTTTGAAGTTCCCCCTGTTTCCTGTAAGATGTTTAAGCACGGAAATAAAGCCTAGGAATTAAATCAAAGTATGCAGAGGCCACTATTTTGATAGCAGCTATTTTAGATACTTGCAACAGGGTGGGTTACCCTGCTAGGGTGCCCAGGGGTAAAGATGAGCCGTGTGCCTCTATTCAGCCTCCCCCTACACGCACATCCCCCTAAACAGTCATATTTCCTGTGTTTAAGAATATGGACAATTTAAGCATAACATATCAAAGGTGACACAGGCTGCATGTTCAAAATCTCATTACTAGATAAACATGCAATGGCCAGTTCAGGGCTCATATCAAGTCAGTACCTGATCCAGTGGTGTAGTGGATGAGGTGGGCGTACTACTATGTAGATGGGTGAGTTCCCGAGGAAGAAGTAGGTATGCCCTCCCATATATTCCAGTGTTTTATGGCTGATAAGCCGGTATACTTTAAAAGGCCAGAAGAAGAGGTGGGTGTACTCTCCACTATGCTACAGCACTGGTCCATCCAGGGCTGAGGACCCAGGAGAGGAGGGTATACGCAGGTCTACTGGGTATACCCTCCTCTCTTTTTGGCTTATAGGTGGGTGTACTGTAAAAGGCCAGAAAAGAGATGGGTATACCCTCCACTACACCATAGCACAGGTCCCTCCAGGGCTGAGGGTCTAGATATGAGCTCAAAACATTTAGCCTTTCTCCAGTTCTTTATCCAGCCTTGGTTTTTGTGTCTTTATGTATCAGGTAAAAGCTGTGTGATGGTTACATTAATGCACACTAGTATGTTTGGTCGTTTTATTTTTGCAGACTTGTAAAGAATAGTTTAGACAAACTGTGATATTCAGTGTTGCATGTTCTGTGCAATGGCAAAACCAATTGCCTGTCCAACATCAGCCTCTAAAAATTTCTTACATTATCATGAATCCTGAATGTGTTGAATCACAGATTTGCACTATTGCTGTTCTGCTGTTTAATATCTGAAGGACAAACCGATATCTGTAGATGTGATTCTGATGTTTTCCAGTCATGTTTCTAACTCTTGCTTGATTTTTTTTTTTTAATTAAATGCATAAAAATTTTGAGTTTACTAATAAACTTGATGAAAACAAATTGGTCTTGTTTGTGGCCTTAATGATTCCTTTGTTTAATGTATCATTTTCATGTCTGTCATAATGTTGCTCCCTGGGGATCACTAAGATTTGTCATTTAAGAAAGATTTAATGAAATGAAACGACATGTAAAAAGCCAGACAATTGTAAGCATTTAAGCTACAGAAAGACCATTTGGATCCTATGGCATCATGTGTATAAGTCATGCTTTCAAGGTCCACTGCCCTCCCCCAGTACTCAGGTTAAAGTTAGCTTTACATTTGCATTTATATACAATCACATTTGCTAATCCTTGAACATAATTCACATTATTATTCACATTATATTTATTCATCCAGCAAAACATGATCACTTCAGTTTAAATCCTGATCGTAGCGAATAATTTACTGCAGGGTTAAACCAGTAGATTCAGAGGTATTGAAGGATGCTACATGTGCAGCACATAAAGAGTGTATTGTTTACGTACAGTATGAAGGCAGCTCTTGTTTCGAAAGGCACGGTCGAGACGGAAATGACCGATATTGACGAATATCCTGTTTGGGTGTCGTAACTTCAAAATAAAAGCGGTTAATTCCAAGTAGTGTGTTGAAGTGCATGTACTGGTAAAGGCACATATGAATAAGACGTGAAAAAGTTTTACACTTCACCCTTAGAGTCTGCACATAAAGACTCATAGTCAGCAGTTTTCTTTTATAACCTATATGGTTTTAAAATTAGCTTTACAGACACAAGATGAGCTCCATGAATGAACAAAAATAATTACAGTTCATTGAAAATGTGAGGGCAGAACAGGCTAGTGAGTATATATTTACATATTTGTGTATTATTAAACTTAAAAATTATAGACTCAAAATCCAAGCACATTATAGGATTGGCTGAGTCACAGGGTCTCTATTTTTATTATAATTATTTCGGTGATAATATTAGGGTACATAATTCTAACAGGAGTAGTTTGGCATACACAATGCAAACCAGTACATTACCTAACTATGAGCTCTAAAACCAACACAGTTAAATCCTCAACTTTTGGACACAGTATCAATAAAATTTAGTTTCATTTTCTAGCACTGTTTGCTATATAAGTTTCACAAAGATAGCACTTATTGCATGTATATTGTATGTAATTACCTGATATTGTCCTAGTGTGGCTATTTCACTGTTAAAATTAATGTATGTGTGCAGGTTTTGTCAATAGCTACATGTTGGAGATTATAGATTATACATTTATGGTGAAGGACGTGGACCGGAAGTATCGCCGTTGCTGCGGGTGCTTGAACACAGGCGAGCCAAGATGGCAGAGTACCTGGCATCCATTTTTGGGACAGAGAAAGATAAGTAAGTAGTTATCGTTGTTTTATTTGATTGCTGGGCGGTTTTTGTTTGCTATATTTGCTAAAGTTCCCGTTGACTAGCAGCACGTTGTAAAGCGGTGTTCGTAGACTTCAGCTGGTGGCCGGCTTTAGCAACTAGAAGCTAAGCTAGTGTTAGCATGCTAGCTAACGTTTGTAAAATACCGCGCCGTGATTGCATCTGTGTGCTGTGTTGTGTGGCGCTGGGACGGACAGAAAACAATTAAAACGAGTTACTTTTTCAGAAATAAAACAGAATAATTTCGGTTATCAAACTTTATTAAATTTAACTCCAAATCCCACCTACCCTCGTGCCAGCCAACCATAGTTAGCTACTTTGTAAAACCCATAATGGTCTTTGTTACGGTGGGAAACTCACGGATAGTCCCACCGTGCGAGCCCCTCACTTTGTTATTAACGTTAATTAACGGTTCCCTAGCCGTTTAATCGCACAGTGTTAACATTATTTATCATTTTGAGCAGTAAATTCACAGTAAGTAAATGAATGGAGGCAGGCGTGTCTCTACTCTATACTAAGTGTATCACGTTAACGTTACTTTAACGTTACTTTGTTCCAACTTCACTGCCTCCTAACACTCCTGACATGCCCCTACTGACCTCAATTAAGTGAAACACAAACACGGATCTTTTACAACTAATGGAAAAGCTTTTTTAACCTAAGATGACAGAGGATTTTCCATATTAAAGTCGTTTATATTGGTATTGCTCACCCCCTGGAGACATGATGATGTCTTTAAACATATTATAAAAACAAACACTTACTTGTTTCACTATCTGTTTCTCTTAAACTCTCTGTAACACAGACAAAAATGGCCTTGTTCAACCCGGCTCAAAAGAAATAATGTGATGTACACAGAAGGGCCTGGAACCATGAGTTGATTAATTGAATAGTGGCATTTTTTCTATAATCCATTTATCATTTTAGTCCCTTTTCAAGTATAAATTAGATTACACCCTGCTAGATTACATTTATTGAGCCAGATTGAATTTTCAGACATAGTAACAAAGTGTAAAGAGTGTTTTTATATTGACCCAGACTCAGGGGTCAGCAACCTTTATTATCAAATGAGCCAGATTAGGCAAAACCAATAATTAAAACATATTTTTGGAGCCGTACATCATATTTGAGACAGCTTGTCAATAGGGATGCACTATATTGGATTATGTTGCCGATGTCCAATAGGCCGTTATATATAAAAACTTAATGAACTGATAATTGATACTGCTATCAATATATACACTTTTTTTCCCCACCCAATTTTAGTGAAAAATTAGTGGAAATTCTTCCGTCTTCTGTAGTGGAATTAACATCATATTATTCATGCATACTCTTATCATGACGGCCCACCAGAAGATGGAGACGTGAAATAGAAAGCTTTTCAATGTATGTAATATTCATTCATTGTGCAAAATAAGAAAAAGCATTTTGGCTGATTCGGATAATTCATTTGAAAGCTGATATCGGCCGATACTGATAACGTGCTGATATTAGCGTGCATCCCTTATTAAATCTAATTTAGCCTTCCAACATTACCAATAGATATAAACATTCAAACATTCATTAATATGTTTTAAGTCAAGGTGGCTACTCTGCAGTGGGCTAGTTATGATTATTTGGTACTTGATTATTTTGCAGTGTTGGTGGTGAAAGCAAACAATTCTGTCCAGGCACTATTAAATTCTCTATCATCCTTTCAGACTTCCTTTTTTTGGATTTGGCATCTATAGTTAGCTTACTAAGGATAAGCCAAGACCACCATTAAGGTTCCACAAAATTCATAGTAAAAGGCACAAAGCAGAAGTTGTAGACACACCACTTGGGTAGTTGACGAAATGTTTAAACACTTTTTTTTTTTAGTCAGTGTATAGGCTACACATTTTTACAACTGGAAAAAAGGAAATCACTTTAGGCCTACAACAATAATAAATGAAACTGAAACTTATTTATTCATATAGTTTTTAGTCAAAGCTGCAGGGAGTCACAGGTGGGGGGCTAAAGAGCCACATGCAGCTCCAGGGTTGCTTAACCCTGCCCTAACTCATTTTCATTATTGTATTTTCTCCCCAGGGTCAACTGCTCTTTTTATTTCAAAATTGGTGCCTGCCGACATGGCGACCGCTGCTCCAGATTACACAATAAACCAACATTCAGCCAGGTAAGATCATACTGTTTTTTTCCTTGTTCTAAAATATCCTAATATAGATAAACTGATAAGGGAAGCTACTATTTTCAGTCAAATGGAAATTATGGGGAGACTTAGTTCTGTAATGGACATGGCATATCCACCATGTAATGTTTAGTATTAGGGGAAAAAATGACTTGACTTGCTACAAGTTCTAGTCACATGTAGTGTGCATCTTTGACTCAAAGATGATTACGTTGTCTGGCTGATATTAGTAGAACTTAAAGACTTTGAGTCCTACTAATATCAGGCAGGCAACTGGACAGGGAAATATTTGAATAGGGTTTATCTGAATATCTGAATATATTTGCAGAAAGCACTGAAAACATTACTTTTTTCTGGTTATCCGTATACTCAGTCAGCATAGGATTGCTAAGGATATTTACAGTGTTTCTTTGATAGTTTTCTGTGCTCTTGACACAAACAATCCATTTCTTAATTAACATTTTTGTGTTTCAGACAATTGCCCTCCTGAACATTTACCGGAACCCTCAGAACAGTGCCCAGTCTGCTGATGGGCTGACCTGTAAGTGCTTCTATACGTTCTGACAGTTTTTAATTTGCATTGGAAGAGATGTGCAGAGTATTTTCTTTAGTGTAACTGGGAGACCACATTTATTAATTATTTATTTATATGTTAGTAAAAGCCCTAATTGTTGAGAGTTTGACTCATCAATAGGAATTTGTTTTCAAACCAAATTCTAAAAGAGGAAGGGCTTGCTTTTATGTAGAATGTAACGATTGCTCAGAAGATTATTTGGGGGAGGGGGGCGTCATGTTTATAAATTAGCTCAGGATAAAATAATTTGTTCAGGCAAAGCAGAAACTAATACTGGAATCTTATCAATATTGTAATTACAGATTAAAATAAATTTAAGGCCACCAGCCTCTAGGAGCTCTTCAGGTAGTACCTAAGTGGTAGTCCTATGATGTGATGTCAGCGTTTTAACCTGCAAGAAGTCGCACCTAAAGTCCCCTCTGTATTTATTGTACAGTTATAAATGTAATTGTTCTCTACTGAAAGCAGGCGTTAAATTGTATTGACGAGTGATCTAACCTTAAGAAGCCTGTTTGGAGGCATCAGTGTTATGTTAGTCCACCCAAGTGACCTCATGCCACTCAATCCAGTCATTCACCCTCCTGAAAAAAGCACATTGTGTCCAGAATTTGTGTTTAACACAGAATTTACTGCAGAAATTATAATGTAATATCCATGTGTCGTTGTTTTGTATTCCCGTTATAATTCTCTCTTATAACCACTAGGTGCCATCAGTGACATGGAGATGCAGGAGCACTATGATGAGTTTTTTGAGGTAAGTAATGCCACTCTGAAGATAGAATGCAGGTCTGCCTCAAACCATGACTACACCACTTTGCCCCGGATACATTTTCTTTGACTTCTTTGGAGGAAATAATTTAATAATTATTATTATAATTGGGCCACTTAAAACATGACTATAAATACTTCCTGTTGTAAAACCTCAGGCAGTCACATTAGGGCAGTGGGTCTGTTTTGCATGTAAAAGCACCAAATTATATCTTAATGTCAAACTCTTCCTTTAATGGACTGAAACTCAACATTTCAGCTAAGGGTGCTTTCACACCTGCTCTGTTTGGCTCTAAGTGTGGTTCGTTTGGGCAGGTGTGAACATGTTCCGACCTCGATCCGAACCAGCTGCAGTCACATGACACATTGTTTGGGTTAAACATGAGCATGTTACCGTCCTGGAGGATTATTAATGTGCACCTCCTCCTGTACTGCCTTAATATGCACATTCAGCACATCCAAAGACTCAAAACATTGTTTTCTAGTTGTAGCCGCACCTCGTTCTCAAATTGTATGGTTTGACTAAAATGAACAAATCAAGCGAACTCTAGGTCTGAAAGCACCCTAACATTCAACTACATGACGTCACCCTTAATTTTTCTCTCGCAGGAGGTCTTCACAGAGATGGAAGAAAAGTATGGCGAGGTGGAGGAAATGAACGTATGTGACAACCTTGGGGACCATCTAGTGGGAAATGTGTATGTGAAGGTGGGTGTCAGGTCTAAAATCTGTCAGTGTTACCACTGCTGTAATGCCATGTGTTTTTAGCTTGGATCCAGAGCTGGTGATTTTTCCTCTTCAAATAAACTCTGTGTGTCTCTTGATGGTCCTTTGTAGTTCCGTTATGAAGAGGACGCTGAGAAGGCCGTGATAGACCTGAATAACCGGTGGTTTAATGGACAGCCAATCCATGCTGAGCTCTCCCCTGTCACAGACTTCAGAGAAGCCTGCTGTCGCCAATATGAGATGGGGTGAGTGCTACGTGATAGGACACAGCTTGTTACACAATAAACCAATAAGAAACTGTGGGAGGGCAGACTCAGACTAGAACCTAGAAGAACAGTTGCTTATTGAAACACTTCCCCATTAATGCTTTCGATGACGGTGTACTCTTGATAAAACAAAGAGGAAGTTCAACACTGTGTTTACTTAAATCTGTAGGACATCTCTGTTCAGGGTTTCAGCCATTGCAACAATGACCCCTTTAAAAGATATAATGTCTGGTTACTACGACCTTGCTGCACCCAGTTGTCTCCCATAAAGATAAAGGACAGGATCATTTTTATGTTTTTTACTTTCTACTACTTTTCTACATTCTTTATGCTCCCAGTTTATTCCCTGAGATAATCCACTTATTTCTGATTCCTAAAGTATGTCGCACATCTTTGTTTTTAAGATGATGTCTCTCTCCATCAGCAAACTGTAGCTTGTATGTTGCAGCTGCTGTTTTAAACTTGTTCTCCACTGACATTCCTCAGTGTCTTTTACCTCACATGTTATTTGGCGTATTATTCTTTTCTGCTCTAACTGCGCCACGCTGTCCTCTCTCCGCAGGGAATGCACTCGTGGTGGCTTCTGTAACTTCATGCATCTGAAGCCCATCTCACGTGAACTGAGGAGAGAGCTCTATGGGCGTCGGAGGAAGAGGTATGAATATCAGTTACCTTATACACTCAGGCACTACAGTTCAGTTCAGTTAGGCACTAGATGTTGCAATCCCTGATGCGCAAACTTGAGACTTTGAGTGGGAGTAATATTGCTGTCTGGGGGTCCAAGTGGGAGCCCAAGGATTAGATGGATAGAAAAGAGCATAGGGAAGGCAGAGCCAAGGAGAGACATCTGTGCGGACTGAGCTCTCCCTGCTGGACCGGGCCGTACACTCTACCTCCTCCTACTCCCTCATTTTGATGAGGGAAGAAACGAACAGGAGAAAAACATACCAAACTTAAATTGAAGTGGAGTTTAACTGGTTTATTGTTGTTGCACTTACTTGCGATTGTGGGTTAAAGTTAGAGCCATGCTACGGGAGGAGGGGTAGCGGTGTAGGGAGGATGTTTCAATGATAGGGTATGATAGAGGGCTAATTGGCAACACCTGGCGCCCCCCTCTGCTTTTAATCCCTAGTACCCTGCTGTTGTGAGTGGTGAACATGAACGTCTGGGTGTTCTCACAGTAATTCATAATCACTCCTCCTGCACTCCCACAGCCGCCACAGGTCCCGGTCTCGATCGAGAGAGAGGCGATCTCGCTCGAGGGACAGAGGTCGAGGAGGTGGAGGTGGCCGTGACCACGAGAGACGTCGCTCCCGAGACAGAGAGCGTTCAGGACGGTTCTGAACCACAAGCCATGACTACTTGTCCTTCCCTCCCGGTATCCATCCCCAGTCTTTTTTTTTTTTTTTTTTTTT